AGATTGATGGGGCCGAACTTGGTTGAGGAAGATTCACCTAGATTGGGTGTCAACATTTTTCATGGCTGCCTGAGAGAAGTCCTGATTAAATACCCAGGAGGTTTTCGGAAAGGTCTAGGGACTATCAATGGGGCCAAGGCCACCTTACATGTTGACCAGGAAGCAATTCCACTGTTCCGCAAGGCCCACCCACACCCCCACACCCCCACCCCCGGTGCCAATTGCCTTACGGGCAAAGATAGAGGGAGAAATCAGAAGGCGGGAAAGCAGAAGGAATCATCAAACCAGTGCAGTTTGCAGAATAGACAGCACTGGTCAGACCGACTGTGAATCCTGGTGGGTCAGTTCAGCTTTGTGGGGATTTTAAACTAACATAAACTGCTCTTCACATGTGGATAAATACCTAATCCGCCACGTACAAGACTCATGCACGAAGCTGGCAGGGTGGGCTGTCCTTCAAGAAGCTGGACATGAACTATGTGTGCTTATAATAATGAGGATTCCCAGAACTATGCTGCAATTAATACCCAAAAGGGTTTGTACTAATATATGAGACTGCCATTTGGAGTATCGTCAGCCTGTGCAATTTTTCAGCAGACAATGGGGAACATTTTACAAGGTCTGCCCCAGGTCACCATTTATCTAGATGATCAGGGAAGACCACAAAAGAACACTTGGAGAACTTGGACATAGTCCTTAGACCTTTCTCCCGTGCAGGCAAATGCCTTAGAAGGGAAAAATGTGTGTTCCAGGTGCCCCAAGCAACCTACATGTCCCACAGAGTTGACCAAACTAGGTTACATCAGTGCAAGATAAAGTGAGGATGATCAAAGGAGCCCCAGCTCCCACGTCTGCACCAGATCTTAGATCTTTCCTTAGGCTGGTGAGTTATTATGGAAAATTCATACATAACCTGGCCTCCATCCTGGAACCTCTACATTAACTCTTAAAGGGTCAGCCTTGGAAATGGTCACATAGCCAAGCCATAGCTTTCAGGGAAGTAAAGAAACAGCTATCATTCTCTAAGTTGTTGGCACACTATGATCCCCAGCGAGAGCTGGTATTGTACATGTGATACCTCCCCATATGGCATTGGGTAGTATTAGCTCATAGGTGGCCCAATGGAGAGGAACGCCCAATAGCATATGTATCCAGGATTTTGGCTAATGCAGAACGTAAACATGCCCAGATACAGAAGGAAGGTTTGGCGATCATATTTGGAGTCAGGGATTTCCAGCAGTATCTTTACAGATGTAAATTTATAATAATAACAGAAAACAAACCCCTGCTAGGTTGACTTAAACAGGACAAGACAGTGATGCCCATAACTTCAGGCCAAATTCAGCAGTGGGTTCTAACACTAAATGCGTAAAGTTACAAGTTGGAACACTGTCCGGGAGGCCATGTAGCAAATGCAGATGCAGTGAGCTGCCTCCCACTGGCAGATACACCATCACTGGTACCGTCACTGGAACGTCCGTAATGGTTTTAAATTTTCTGAACATATTTCCAGTCACAGCTGACAATATCAGACTTTGGAAACAGAAAGATCCAGTCCTGACAGAACTGAAACAGCTGGTGGTGACAGGGAAACCAAAGGGCCATCGCAACCAGAATTGAAACTTTCTGGACCTGGAGAGACCAGATCACAGTAAAGGCCTATTATTGTAGGGAGCAAGAGTAGTCATCCCGAGCAAAAGTCGCCGCCAGATACTGGCTGAGATCTACCAGGGTCATCCAGGAGTTACAAGATGAAGATATTGATGAGAGGTTATGTCTGTTGGCCAGGATTGGATGCAGATATAGCTGCATTGGTGGGGCAGTGCCCAGAGTGCCAAGGGCAAGATTACCGCCAGCAGCTCCCCCACATGCATGGGAATGGCTGGGTAAACCCTGGACTCAGTTACATGTTGACCAAGCAGGTCATTTCAATGGGCTCAATGCTCTCAGTAAGTGTGGATGCCCACTCAAAGTGGCTGGACATGCATAGAGTTCATTCGCCAAACACGGGGGCAACGATAGAAAAACTATGCGCATCTTTTGCAATAAATAGACTCCCGGAAGTGTTGGTCACAGATAACGGGCCATCGTTTACCAGCAGGGAATTTGAGTACTTCCTAAAGTCAAATGGTATTTGTCATATAAGGACAGCTCCATACCATCCATCACCCAATGGTCTGCCAAAAAGAGTAGCCCAAGCTTTGAAGGCAGGCTTAAAGGAACAGCCTAGAACTTCACTAGACACCAAACTGTTGCGGTTCCTGTTTGATTATAGGACCGGCCTTCATGCACTTACAGGCATAGCTCCAGCAGAGTCGTTAATGGGGAGAAGGCTCTGCACTAGGTTTAACTTGATCTTCCCAACCTCGATAGGGAGGGGAGGGGGGAAATGTCATCAGGAATGCCAATGCCAGACACAAGACTCTGTTAGGCGAGACAGACAGTTCACTTCCGGGGACGAAGTTTGGTGTAGGAACCAGGGGAATGGCCCTGCATGGGTAAGAGGCATGGTTGATGCAGGGTCAGGTCCAGTGACATATAAAGTTCAGGTAGGTGCAACGTTTCTGAACAAGCACATGGACCGTATGAAAGCTGCAAACTCGCAAATAGTGCAGGAGCAAAACATGCCTGGCTCATCAACTGCCTTTCCAACTCCTCCAAAACCTGTGGGTTCTGCCCCTCTGTCAACCGTTGAAGATACCTTGGAATCTGAGATGGACACAGCAAATGTTGCCACCTCGAGGCCTTCTCCACCTGAAGAGGAGAATGAATTTCTCCTGAGACACTCTGGGCGCAAGACGTGAGATATTATGCATTACACGTTGCCCATATCAGAGGCAGAGTTGATGGAACCTGACCTAGTGCTAAAATGCCCCAGGAGGAGCTGCAAAAGAAAGAAGTAGTCTATATCCTCAGGCCCAGAGGGAGAGGGATGTAGTGATTATAATGAGATCAGCCAGATGGACCTCATAGAATATGAGTTCCCTGATTGGGGCTGTTAATCTGGTCCAATCAGGGAGCCCTGGCTGTTAGATATAAACAGGAGTGTCAGACATCCTGTTTACCCTGAGAGCTGGCTCTGAGGGAGCTGGATCAGTGTCAAAGACTCTCCACTCGTAAATAACGGGTGACTTGGTGATGGGATACTGGCCTCTGTGGAGTTATTTCAGGAAACACTTATTTGGCAATCAAAAATCCCAAATGGACGACAGTCAAAGTATTGGACCAACATTAAGCTAAACAAAATAAAGAACGTTTTGTCTGCATCCATCCTATTAAAAACACAAGGGTTGAACACCTTCCATCATTAGTTCCTCCCTGCTCACACTTTTCACTCGTTTTCTGGCATTGCTTTGCAAATTGGATTCAGAACGGTCCCACATGTTCCACATGCTACCGACTGCGTCAGTGTAAAATGTGCAGTGCCTTCAGCCCAGCTTGGCTGCGAATAAAGGGAATGATGCTTCCATTCTCCTACCGTTCCCAGCAGTGAGCCTGTCCGACAAGTGAGAGTGTGTGTTGGCCATGCCTGCTTCACAGCACTCTTTTTGCCTCCAAGTCAGAAGGCTGCAAGTTCAAACCTACCCCAGAGATCCGAACATGTCATCGCAGTTGATGCTTCATCAGCACTGCTGAAGGAACGCTGCACTGCCTGAGGAACAGTTCCTTTCGATTCGGCATTAAACTAAATTTTCTACTTTCACGTGGACATCTTTGCATTATTTGAAGAATTGCAAGGGTCCTGAGCCAAATTTTGTACCTCAATCTTCGTGACTAAAGCAGGTTAGCCTGTAATTACAACATTGCTGTCCTTGGCACCTGGCTTTCTTGCTTTACATCAGAGCTTCTTTCTGCAATAGAGGAACTGTTCAGGTTTCCCTCTCCAGCTAGAGATTGCTGCAAAATATTCTAGTCAGTCGTCCTTTGTTAACTTAATCAAACCATCCCCTTGGGAGTGAGGCAGAGCTGCTCCCATTGAGATCAATTGCCGTCTTCTGTAACGAAGGGACAACTTAGCCAATGACCCCAATCACGCACCAAAGAGACATGTCTGTAAGTTACACAGTGAACCCTAAGTAGCAAAGCAATCAAATATGACAACCGTGACCACATCACAGACTGACATTCTAGGTCCCTGTTATCTCACAGCGATTTCATCAGAAAGGGACTTTTATTTTGGATCCTTTATTATCCAATGAATGGAGCTCTTTTCTCTAGACAAGAGAAGGCTGTGAGAGGTGACCCATTTGAGTAGTTAGGAGGATCGACAGGGTAGGGATGTACGGAACGCTCCCACTTGTAGAGAAATCCCAAACTAGGAGCTGCATTTGTAAAGTAAATTCAATGAACGCAGGAGGAATATCTATACTGAGAGAGCGTTTAGAAAGTGGAACTTCCTACCACATGAAGTGGCTGAAGCGAATAATGTGCGGACATTTAAAGGAAGCTAGTTCAGGATATAAATACTCGGGGCACAACTCTCCCACCCAAAACTCTACTGAGGCCAAGTGTCCAGTGAAAATGTCAAACCCTGGGCAGCTTTTTAATTTGGTAAGAGGATGAAGAATATGGAACCGAGGTGGGTCGATGTGGTTAGCCATGATCTGATTGCATGTTGGTACAAGTTTGATGGGTTTGATTGCCAATCTCCAGTTTCCTGCTTTCTCTGGAGTGTTGTGGGAAAGTGTCATTTGCCTTTTGATCCGAAGGCAAATAACTTCAAGTAATCAACGTGAGGAGTTAACACGGATTCAGTCTGGTCCTAATCGGGCAAGAGTCAATAAGAAAGCAAACCCCTTGGTCCCAGCTTGACATTAAAAATGAAAGAGTCAAACACACCCTGCACTGTTACACTCTTGTTTCCATGACTAGAGGATTATAATGATAGAGAGATGAAGTGGAATGGGAGGAGGTTTGGGTGCAGAACGGACACAACAGGCTGAATGGTCCCGTTCTACATTGCAAACCCAATATTGGTCTATCACTGCGAAGGCACTTACCAGGAAGTTATCGGGATCCGCACCACCCGCCAAAGCGACAAAGACACCAGAGGACGGATCAATCTCCATCTCGTCCGGGGACCTTTCAAAGTACTTGGTGCCATGCAGCTCGCAGTCCAGGTAGAGGCTAATTGCCTCGCCTACCACGGCGATGGCGATCTTGACCCATCTGTTGGTTAAATTGCTCACCCTGAACCGTGCAGCCTCATTGGACTGCTGGAAGCCAGGCTCTGTGTAATAGAAAATGATGTCCTGTGATGCACCCTGGACCTCCGACAGTTTAACTCCGACGTAGATGACAGTTTGACTGGCATCAGTGATCGCAAACAGCACGCCGCTCTTGGGTGATGTTGGTTTGATTGTGAAGAGCAATGCAAAGTTATGGAAGAAGGGGCTTCTGAAGTAGGCTCTGGCCAGCTGCCCGGTGTTGACATTCGGGCCAAACTTGTACACTGGGTTTTGGTCGGGTCCATACTCCACGGTGACCTGCTCAGGAGCGGGATCTCCCAGCAACTGTAGCAGAGACACGGAATAGTCCTTATCTAAAAAGGAGGGAATAGGAAGAAAAGAAACAAGACTTATTAAACCTCAAATGTTAAACCATTGAACGCTGTCAGGATGGAAACCTTCCGTTCTACAAAAAAAAATCGATCACCGACTTCTCCACTCCTCACTAATGTTGGAATACAGCTTCACAGACATTAAACATCTCACTCTTCACGCATGGACCTGACCCTAAACATTAACAGACAATGATTGCTGACCAGGATGAGTAGGTCAACCAACAAAGTCTCTTCCTCTACAAATGTATTTTTGTACATCCAGGTCAGAGATAAGTAACTGAAAAGTTCCCCTCCAAGGCACTCACCATCCTGCCTTGGAAATATATCGCTGTTCCTTCACTGTCGCTGAGTCAAAATCCTGGAATTTCCTCCCTAATTGCATTGTGGGACAACCCGCAGCACATAGACTGCAGGAATTCAAGAAGGCAGCTCACCACCACCTTCTCAAGGGCAACTGGGGATGGGTAAGAAATACTGGCCCAGCCAGCAACGCCCCTGTCCCACAAATGAACAAAAGCCTCAGCCAATATCAAACCAACTCAAGACATGGGTCACCAAGACTCCCAGAAAACCGGCAATGGAATCTAGCACCATCTTAATGTGTGTGCTTCAATATTACACCACATAGACCTGGCCAGCATATCGCACTGCCAAAACCAATCGAACTCCAAACTCCTGCCCCTGACATTTCCCAGGCTAATCAGGATTCCACTCCTTTTTTACTTACTTCTCTCTGTCTCTTTCATTTTTCCTCCATCCACTTGCTTGCCCTTTTCAAACTCATCCTGTTCCAAGAGAGCCATCAGTAGTTGCTTCCATTTCCATTTACCTCAAGATCACCTTCTTCGCTTCCCAGCTCCAATTAAAGATGTCCCTCTCTCTCTCTTTTCAAAACTGCCGTGGCCAACCACATTGAAAAACAAATTCCTGACCCCTCTGCCCGGGCAAACTTTCAATGCTTATTTTGATCATTTGTTTCCTTTCTTTTTAAGATCTGAACTTCTTCAAGATGGTGTCAACTTTCAACTCAATGCCTACGTTTCCTTATTTCTGTCTCTCCAATCAGCTTTCTACCACCACCACCACCACCACAGCCACAGCCAATGAAACAGATCAAACCAAAGTCACAAATGGCGGCCTCTGTAACTGTCACCATGGTGCCCCAACCCTCTTTGACCTTTCCATTACCTTTGACATCACATCCTCCTTGAAACACCTCCCCTCCATGCATCCAGCTCAATGGGACTACCCTACTCCACCTCCCTCTTACCTACTGGTAGCTGGATCATCTCCAGCAAAGGTTACCCTCCTCCCTTACTGTAAACTGACATGAACAGCTTGTCCCATAGACCCATGTGTGCTAGATTTCGGATTCAGTCTGTGCAGAATGACTGCTACAGCTGTCAGAGAAAGCAAACGCTCCAGGCTAATGGGACTGGATTCAAACCCGACCGCTGGAGATGAGAGGTCTATGCGATAACCCTGGAATAAACTGGCGCCATCCCATTTCCTGTCCAAAGTAGCACCGGCTGTGAAATCTTCCGATGGGATTGAAATTCAAGCGAGCTGCTTATCTGGACGTTGAGGGCATGAAAGATCAAAAGCAGAACTTGTATTCGTATAACACCTAACAGGACATCACACCGTACCTTACCACAAATCTGGTTTTGTTAAGGCCAGTGGAATAAAGTCCAAAAGATGCCGCTAGTCATCTTAAGATCTCATGGAGCTGGCAGTAAAGAACTGATCTCATCAGATCCTAAGACCAACAGCAGCTGATCCCCCAAATGGCCGCCTAATGAGTACAACACAGTGCCTAGCTTGGCAATGAATGGCTTACATTTTCAATGTATCAGTCAATCCATCTACACCATGGAGAGGGCCATCATCATGAACACGAGCAGATTTAATTACAGCAAAACTTATCTCCCCATTCCTTTGGCTTAAACATGACGCGACAGTTAAGATGAAGGAAACTGTTTTGCTCATGTTAACCCTTCCTCTCCATCTCTCCATCAGATGGTGACTGGATGGTTTGCCACATTGGTTTATCTGAGGTGATGATCCTAAGGCAGTGGGTAGCGACCCTGACCCTGAGCCAGGAGTTCTAGGTCAAAGGTCCTGAACTCAAAGACTCGATGGCCGTGGGAGGAGCATTCAAAATGCAGCCAAATAGGGTGGGCATCAACCTCTAAATCCTTCAAACACATGCCAATGGCAGGCAATAAGCAGAGGAGAGACAGACTGAAACGGCATACCACTGCAATTCCATACCAACCATAACCGTGGGCCAACACACAATTCCACGGTCACCAATACCTTTTCTGGGTGTGGTACTGACAGAGAGAGGGAGAGAGAGAAGGGACGTGTCTATCGGACAATCCATTAGGCCATGTAATGACATAACTATAGCCCCCGGCAGGTAGGGAATTCCCACTTAACACATACAAAATCGCACAGGAAAATACATGCACACACTGCAGCTGATTTAATTCCATTACATCGCAATATTCCCGTAAATATTTAGAAAATGCAGCTTTTTGTGGCACGTTCTCGTGCTGCGTATAATTCCACAGAGCCAGCTTAACTCTCACTCCCTACTCCTCCACCACTTAGGGTGCGAGCCGTTTGAATTGCTTGGATTTATTCCTGTCACGTGTACCGAGATACAGTGAAAAGTGTTGTCTCATGTGCTTGACAGGCATTTCGTCCCGTACAAGTGCATCAGGGTAAGAGAACAGAGTGCAGGATACAACGCTACAGCTGCCGACAAGGTATCACCTCAGGCAAGAGCTACAAGAGTGAGAAGTAAAGCAGACACAAATAACTGGGAAAAGCTCCATTCCCAAGGGTCAGAGGTGCCTTGGTTTTGAACACGGAGTTTCTAAAGTGGGAGGGGCTGATATACTCAGGGAGATAAATCCCACCAGTACTTCACCAATCGTTGTTATGCAGTAAATTCAAGATCCAATTTTTGGCTAAGGAATTCTGAATGCTGAAGAAGGGAATCGGTGCGTGATCTTGTCAATAAATACCGAACAAATACAGAGGGCTGAACTCATTGACAATAATCCCTTCATCAGAAACAACTGAGCGACTGTGCTACGCTCTCGGAACTCTACTCAGTCACTTCGAAAGCCCAGTTACAGTGTCATGAGGTTCAATTCAACACATTCTCTGAAAGTCATCTGCATGTCATTAACTCCTCATTGCCTGGATGAAATTCTCCAGATATTCAGTGCAGCCTCAAATGCTCGCTGCTCTCACTTGAGACACCACTGACCACACAGACTCGAGTGCTGCTGAGCATGACAAAAGTTGTTCTCTTTCACAGGGCGTAAGGCGCAGAGGCGAATTAATCGACGAATCAGATCATGAAGCAGGGCTGAATTAATGCCATTCCTTATAAACTTGAACCCCGGCTTTAGGCGCAAGTGCGTACGTCCATCAAATTCTGATCTGTGGAACTGATGGATGAGTAGGAGAATGAGCTCCATTGGCGAATAAGGACAAGTTCAAATCCATCCATTTGCACAAAATATTGGCATGGGGGGAGGGTGGTGGGGAGATCAGGGAAATGAAGATGTAATTCTCTGAAAATCCACAGCCACCCCCACAATCCACCACCACCGTCCCCCCACCCGAGCCCTGGTTACATTACAGCTAATCACAACCAGAATTTGTTACTTCAACAAGCAAAGACCAACTGCGTGTACTACAGCATGAAGCTGTGCACTGCCCAGGTCAAGAGAATGGCATCGCTCATTCCCCAGTACAGTGCTGGCAACCAGACTCTCCAAACCATCCATCCTCCACCAACTTTTCCCCTCACCTCTGCTCAACAGCCCAATAACACAAGAGAAAGAACAGGCCATTTGACCTCTTGACACAGTTAGCTGCTCTACCTACCACAGCTTCCCGCTTCCATATCCAAATGGAAACCTAATCAATCTCCGTTTTGACATTTCCCATTGAATCCCAGCCTCACAGCCATTTGTTTTTTATTTTGGGGGTGAGGTTGGGGGCAGTTCAAGATTTCCATTTTCCTTTGTGTGAAGAAGTTCTTCCTGAACAACCTTGGAACACCCTGGCCCTAACTTTTAACGTTCTGTCAAGTCGTTTCCCCGGAAAAGGAAATCATCTCAGGTTCCCCGACTGGAACACCTCGTAATCTGCTGCACACAACAGAACTACGACTACATTTCCTGCAACCATCCTTTACAATTTAAATCCTCTCAGCCCTGTAACCCGTCTGTAAGCAGTAAATCTGCACTACACCCCCCAAAGGCCAACAGATCCGTTTTGAGGTGTTGGTCAGAAACCAGGTGGGATCGACCAGAACTCTACATAACTGGGAAGTTTGATACAACTCGATCGCTATTTGAAGGTACAACTATTCTTGCATGCTATATCACGAGTGCCACATTGTTACAGGCATTTCCAGACTTAAGAACGTTGCAGTGGTGGGTGCCTACAAACGCTGCCTTATTTATATTGAGTACACCTCTCCAAAAATATGGGTGAAGGGCATGGAGTAGAACAGAAATGCAAATGAAGTGATTTTTGGATTTCCCTGTAATTTTGGCGCTTCTCAAACGTCCGAGAAGGATCCAGGTTTGTGCACAACTGACAGTCAAGTGTCAACAAGCAAATCACCCTGAAAGATGAGTCGCCTGTTTTAAGATTCCCTTTTACCGTATAAGCCCTTTGAGAGACTACACCTGGAGAGCTGTTTGCAGCTTTGATCTCCATTTCTAAGGAAGGGATAGACTTGCTTTGGACGGAAAGGTTCGTTAATTTGCAAGGATAAAAGGATTGGCCGACGGGAAGAATCTGAGTAGCTTGGGCCAATACTCTTAGGAGTTTGACAGGCAGTCTCATTGAGGCGTTCGAGATTTGGAGGGGATTTGATAAGGGCTTTTTGCTTTAGCACACAGAGTACAGTTCCACGATAAGCGGCCAATCATTAAGGACTGAGA